AATTGTTTTGTTCTTCTTTTATGGGGATTTCGTGTCATATTTATATTATTAGCAATGTAAAATTAAACTTTGGGCAACATGTTCCAATCATTCAGGGTCTCCTTCAGGGGCCCTTATAGATAATTTTTTATTCTGAAGCAGAATTATATATGTGAATTTCTATTGTCTTTATGTATTACAAAATTAAAATTAAGAATTACAAAACAAAGTAATTATTTTTAAAAAGTATAAGCTGTAGCCTCACAGTTAATAGTTAAAACTAATACTGTAAATATTGTTTGTTCCATCTTCATCTTCATACTCTTATTCATAACTACTTAGCCAATGTATATAACTTATTTAACCTACTTAACTAGGTTAAGATGGTGGAACACAATCTGGATTGTTGGGGTTTTAATCTTTATCCATCCTCCGACATAAAATTACAAGTTTTGAGGACTGGATCTGTCCTCATCTTCAGGTGTGGTGAAGAGTAAGGGCACCTAATCTCTGGGGTCCATTAGAATGAGTTATATTGAAATTAGTTCATTCTCCTGGACCCACAGAGTAGGTGAACTGAATTTCCTTCAATAATGTAACTAACTTTCTGTAAGCGGACGCTGAAGTTTCAACATTGCCATTAGACAGAATCTTAATCAATTCCCATTCACCTTCCATCCTTGTAACCTAAAATCCATAATAATGCTATCCTTCCATTTCCTTCTCAGTCCTCTCAAGTAGCTGCTTTATGCAGTTTCCCCACTAAAATTCTGTTTGTGTTCGTATTCTTGCCATTCCTCACTATTATAATAATAGTAATAATGTTAATAAAATAAATTAGGATGGATCTTTAATTTTTGGTACAAAATTACTGCAATTAATGATTTCTCACTAGGCATGGTACACTTGCTGCAGGAACAACACAACTTACTTTGCGGCAGCAAGTGAAGCAAGTATGTCTGCTTCACATTTTATAGTTAAAATATGTATGATACAAATGTCCATACAACTGTTTCTTCACTTTTACTTACTTCAGAATTGCCCCTATACACATGCCATCTGGCAATGTTGTGGGTAAATCCTTTAGTGAGTGAATCACAAAATCAACATCCTGTTGTTCCAAAGCAATCTCTAATTCTTTGGTAAATAAACTTTTCTCACCAATTTTTGGCAAAGGTTTGTCTAAAATTTTATCACCTATAGTTGACATTTTAACTGCAACAAAAACATACAATAAATCACAAACCAACAAATTTTAAAACAATTTCCAATGTATATGGTAGAGTTTATTTCAATTATACTATTATATATAATGGGTTACATACCTATTTCATATGTTTTTTCAGGAGTCCATTCCTTCAAGCACTCAATAACAAATTTGGTTTGTATAACAGCTAACTGAAATGAAGAAAGGTCTTAATAACTGTGAAGTTCTTTAATTAAATTATTCCCAAATTTACTATTAATACATTATAACTGTAAAATAATTAACTACAAATCATGCCAGCATGAGCAAATGTTAATATAATTATTACAAATAATACAAAAACACTTGCAGTATAATACTGTTTCATTTAGACTTTTATCTTTCGGGTTACTAACGTTTTGGAGGAGCCTGCTGCCTCTCTCATCAGAGTAGATATGCAACAAAACACAGATGATCACTATTTTTTGTCGTCACCACACAGAACATCAATTTTTTAATACCATTAAATATAACAATAATAATGCACACTAAACAACGCTACATTTAAAAACACACAACACCCCAAAATTTGTCTTTGTTACATTTTCAGATTTTAATGGCACTAGTGTCCACAGCTGTTATAAATTTATTGAAACAATAAGTCAAAAAGCAATTTTGAACAGTGTATTCATAATAAATCAAGACAGCACCGTAAGCCTTACATTTGTGTGTTGTGTGTTGCATACCTTACGGCGTAGGCAACACACATAAATGTGCCAGATGATTATGAAAAAAAAAAAGTAGAACCATGACTGGCATTACCTAATGAAAGCACCACAATTTGTCGAAGCTTCTTACCTGGCTCTTTCTTGATTTTTTTTTGTGCTTAATAAATGAACTATTCATCTCTGCTAACATTTAAAATTTACGTTCATGGGTAACAAAAAGTAGGTCGACCGATTTCTTAAAATATGGTAACAGTGAAATCAATAAATACAATATTTTTGACACAGTTACTGACACTGCAGTAGATTGTGTAAGATGATGTTATAGAAGTAATAAATTGCTAAGCACTTTCATCTCAACACCATGTTAATATGTTCCACTTAACCAGAAATCAGTCACACGATTCGCAAAAACTGCAAAGTCTGCAAGGTCGCTTTCACAATTTAATAACTGCTGCTGTCGTTCTTCACTTTCAATGAACGTCATTTCTCGTATCGATATCCTACACAGATAAATTGGAAGTTTTTATATTCGTCGTTGTTACAAGTTCCAAAGAGCCTTCGACAAGCTGCGAGAATAAAACAATATGCGTACAAAATCACGCTACTTAGTTTCAGAGGAAAAACTGCAGTGACGGAGTATATAGCACAGATAATACGAAAAGTCCAAGGGGGACAAACTCGAAATGGTCAGCTTCTTTAGGTACCTTGGCACAATGGTGCAAACCACAGGCTTCACATACATAAAAGCTTCGGTCATTGCAGTCATGTAAGAAATTAAAGGCTTAATGAAAAGCAGTGATTAAACTCTACAACGCCAATCCTCACACACGTCCAAGATCTAATACGAAAACATTTCAACCTCAGAAACTTCACCACCTTAGAAAGCGTCAAAGTTTCCTTCCTCAACAAAGTTTCTAGCATGAGAAAAAACACAATGTCGAGATTGGCTTACGAAATGTCAAAAAGATCCCTTCCTAATATAGGACCTAGAAGTCCAACTTTTGCTACCTACCACCAGCGCATCGGAATGGAGTAACTCTTAAATCAAAGGGTATGGTAGAGTAATCAACTGTGGAGTGAATTTTATTATACAGAGAAAATGACTAATCTCGAATGGACAAACGCGAATTACTGAGCCCCCTTACGACGTGTATGACTATATACGTATTCCACCACAAGATCTGCAAAAGAAAATCCCTTCATTCCCCAGATAAAAGCTGCTCTTGTAGGCTGTGGTAACTGTCGTCGGTACAATTCGAGAACACAAACTCAGAGAGAGATATGTTGTAAAAACTGAAATATGCACATTGTGTGCTTTTTATCCTTTTTATTTAATTCGATTGTCTGTGACGACGACGACCAAACATGTACTTTTGCTGTAATACTGTAGTTCCAAAAATCTGTCAATAGCTGTTATAACCATGTATTTATATTTATACTAGAAACAATTATTGTGTTTCTGCTATGACCTGTTCTACATCTTTGGTTTAGGCCTATGAAGGACCTATGGAATGTAAATAAATTCTAATCTATTCTGTGGACTTTCTCTCTGTGATCGAAACGCGCTACGCAATAAAACAAAGAACAATCAATGTGCGAGTGTCTCAGTAGCCGCATGCATGTTTGTGTTACGTTGGAAGTTATAGGTTATAAGTTAAGAAGTTAAAATATGGGTAGACCTGGTAAGATTTTTACAAGCTTTAATAAGTCATGTGTTTGTTGTAGCCTGTGATTTTTCTTATTTGAATGCTATTTGTTTAAAAGTGTACAGATTCTATAGTGTTTGTAGGACGGAAGAGGGAATAGAAAGAGGAAGACATAATTAATATACATCTTATAGATCCTTAACAGCATAAGCTAAGGATCCGGAACTTGTAATATGAATGTAGTTAGTACAAATACAGTAATACCAATGCAAAACTGATATTAAACATACAAATTGAATGTAGCTTCTTGCTTGTATTTTGTCACATACAAGGAATAGGTTTTTTTCCGGTTTTAAAAATACCTGTTTCATTATCTGTAAGGATGGCCCATGTCAGTAGGAATAGAATTTATTTACATTTCACAGATCAAGGATGTGGAATATGTCATAATATGAATATGAACACTTAACCAACTAACTAATTAACTAACCAACTAGATGGCTTACCGAACCTGAAGGTTGGTCACCGAATTAACCAAAGCCCTCCACCGGACCCTTTCCTGGGCCAACAAAATCCAGTCTCCTTCAACTCCTATCTCCCATAGATCCCACCTGACATCATCCTCCCATCTACGTCTAGGTCTCCCCAGCGGTATCTTCCCCTCAGGCTTCCCAACCAGTACCCGGTGCACACCTCTTGTCCCATCCATGTGCGCTACATGCACCACCCATCTCATTCTTCTCGACTTCATTACCCTGACAATACTGGGGGAGGAGTACAAATTTTTAAGTTCGTCATTATGCAGTTTTCTCCATGCCCCATTGTCTTCTCTCCTGCAATCTGTGTTCCTCCCTCTGAGTGAGAGACCATGTTTCGCACCCATACAAAACAACAGGCAAAATTATTGTTTTGTATATTTTAATTTTCAGGTTCTTAGAAATCAGACGGGAAGACAAAATATTTTGAACTGAGAAGTAGCAAGCATTTCCAGAATTTAATCTCCTCCTAACTTCCTCATGAGTGTCATTTTGATTTGTTATTGTTGTTCCCAGATATTTGAACTTTGTAACCCTTTCAAAGGACTTATTTGCTACCCTAAGATAATTTTGCCCGCCTGTCTTCTGACCATGAGATACCAACATGTACTTAGTTTTCTCTGAATTTACTTCTAGCCCCACCTGTCTACTAGCCTCTAGTAAAACTTTTGCATTCCTCATTATTGTATTTATGTCGTCTCCAAATAACTTAACATCATCAGCATATGACAATAGCTGATGTGTCCCATTCAATTGCAAACCCTCATCCTTCCATTTTTGTGGCATCTCTTCCTTATCCCAAATTAACTGAATAACCTTATGTGTCTCGGTATGCAACTTTAATTAATTCTGCTGGAATCTGATCAATACCTGGAGATTTATAACTTTTCAACTACATCTAAACTAGGTTCTGGCACTAACAGTTCAGCTGTGTGTATTTTAATCTGTCTAACATCCTCAGTCTCATGAACATTTTTTCTAAAGAAATCTTTCCTCCTATTCAAAATTTTTATTGGATCTGCAAGCAAATTGCTATTATCATCCTTTACTAATAAGTCTGATGTTGATATCCTTTCTTAAAATTATTAATCCCTCTGTACAGGTTTTTCCTTACTATTTGTCTCAAGTTAAATAATTTTGCCCTTCAGGTATTCCATTTTCTTATTCCTAAAGGTTCTACTAGCTTACACATTACATAGATTATTCATATTTGTTTTGCTTTGGTCCTGCAACCATTGAAATTTTTCTTGCTTCCTTCGATCTATTAATTTTTAACATTTATGAACACTTACTACAATAAAATACCAAAACAAAGTCATAATTGCATGCCTGTTACATTTATTTACATAAATATTTGCAGTATTTAATAATTTTGAATTGAAGTACATTCTTCTATAGAGTGGGAGTGAAGAAAAAATAAAAGTGCTGGCTTAAATACTTTCATATCATTGAAAGTTTTAATGCTGTCTGGAGAAGTACTGAACAATTTGATTTCTTCATAATAAGCACTTTTTTAATATATAGTGAGGTTGGTGCTAGGCTGATGGTGATCATGCTTATGCTTTGTGTATATAAGAGTCTGTAACTCCTCTATATTGTCCACAATAAAAGATGGTAATGAGAGTAGGAATTTACTGTCAAGGGGGAGTATATAACATTCCCTAAACAGTTCTCCGCAAGATATTCATTAAACACCTGCCATTATTTTAATAATGATTTTATGTTAGATACTCTCTTGCTGTCTGTTGTATTTCCATAGAAGGTAATTCAATGTGACAGGATGAATTGGAAATAAGCAAAGTAAACTAATTTTAAAGTATCTGCTTTCAATAGTGGTGTGACTTTCCTCATGTCAAAGCATGCTGAACTTAGTTTGGGGATTAAATATTGAATGTGCTTTTCCAGTTTAAGTTTTTATCAATTTGTAAACCAAGGAATTTAGTTGTTAATACTTCTACAGTTTTATTTTCATAAGCTATATTAAAATTTATATTTTTTTCTTAGCAAATTTAATTAAATCTGTCTTGTGAGAATTTAAGGTGAGTTTATTGGTTTTAAACCAATTGTCCAGGTCAACATAGACATCATTAATGGAATTCAGAAAGTAGTTGCTATCAGAGTGATAAATAATAATACTAGTTTCATCAACGAAGAAATGGGCTTGGAGTGAGAATTGATTATTTGGGGTAGATTATCTAGTAACTGTGATCTTCTTCAGGGTGGAAGTTGGAGACAGTATGTTCTTCTGAAACATTGATAGCCATCTACAAGACTACATAATGTCTTATAACCATCAGTGCTGCAGTCTACATTTTTACTACAGTGAATGTATCAGATCTCAGTTGTTTTAGAAATTTAGCATCAGTGCTACTCTTAAAACTATGTGTTCAAGAATCATTTGAAATTCTCACCACCATATAATGTGCCACTATTGATCTTCATCAGATGGAAAAAGCAGTAAGCCATTTGGTTGTGTTAGAGGTTATGTTTCTTGTAATGTGAATGGTTTGTTTCAGGTTTTTCTCCTCGTGGTGGTAGTTTTCGTGGTGGTAGTTTTCGTGGTGGGCGAGATAGCGGTGGAGGGAGAGGTGGTGGAGGTAGAAGCAGCTTTGGCAGAAGTCCTGGTGGACGTGGTGGAGGACGAGGGGGATTTGGTGGAAGAGGCCGAGGAGGAGGTGGAGGACGAGGACGTGGAGGTGGTAAGTATAATGTTACACATTAGATAATATGAACATTGAATTGTCTCCTGGCCAAAACATTTGAAAATGCTTTTATGAAAATTGTCATTCTCGGAATTAGTAAACCAAACAATCACATGGTTCCCTTAAATATGAAGTCTGTGCTGTATCCTTGAGTGATTTCTATGTTCAGAACAATGTCACAGACTGGTGGCAAGGGGGAGTGGGCAGAATTGGTGCTCTGAAGGTCACATGTGGAGTTATGTTAGAGCAGTGGGTAGATCATATAGTAAACAGGAGTTCTGCCAAATCAAAATGCAGTGCTGGCTATGACATGAAACTACCGAGAAATATATTAATATTTATTTAATTTTATGAAATCATTGTGCTTCCCTAAGTGAGTAACTGAATGATCAAGGATTGGCATTATATCTTACACAGATGTCTTTGTGGCTTCTGCAATATTCTTGCAAGTATACTGTTTTTAATCTCCATGTACTTGTTTATAGGAGGATTTAAAGGTGGCAAGAATGTGATTATTGAGCCTCACCGTCATGAGGGTGTGTTCATTGCAAGAGGGAAGGAGGATGCTCTTGTTACATTAAATATGGTACCAGGAGAAGCTGTCTATGGAGAAAAGAGAATATCAGTGGAAGTAAGTAACAGTTATGGTTATGTACAATATGAGTGTATTTTTCTGCCATGACTTGTTACACAGGTTAATTTCCGAGAGGGTGCTTCGTTAAATACTTGTTTTAAAGCTGAAGAAGTGTGCCTGTTACAACTTATGTGTTTGTCACATTTGTGTATTTTCTTTCATTTTTATGGATTATCTGGGGTTCTTAATTTTCCAGAAAAATATATGTTTGGAACCAAGTGGATAATCAGAAAGTGTGTTTACTTTGCCCATTTTCACTCCATAATGAAGTATGGGATACTTTTTTGGAGTAATTCATCTAACAGCAAAAATATATGCACTGTACAAAAGGAACTTGTTAAATTGAAACCAAAAAATTCATGTAGTAGTCTATTTAAGAGATCGGAGATTTCAGCTTTTCCATGTGAATACATATTCTCATTAATGAACTTCATTGTAAATAACCAAGAATGTTTTAAAATTAATTCTGCTGTACACATTGTCAACACAAGGAATAAGAATTAGCTTCATAGACCAATTTACAACCTCTTATGCTTTCAGAAAGTGCATAGGGTATTATGTAAACATTAACATTTTTAACAGTTTACCATCAAGTCTTGTAGATCTACTAAATAAATAGGCACAATTTAATGTACCACTAAAATGATACTTAGTTATACACTCCTTTTACTCTGTTGATGAGTTTATAATGTTTACAAATAAGTCATAATCATTAAGGTTCTCTTGTCTTCATATAATATAAATGGATAATAGGATTTATCTACTGTATGTAATGGGTGGATATATTTATAACATATCACTGCTTTATGTGAACCCTTTGTTGAAAGTATGTGAAATTTTATATTATGAACTGTACTTGAAATAATGAGTATAAGTATTGTATTATTATGACTTATTCCACATTGTATTGCCATCTAACTTATGGATCCATGGAATGTAATAAAGATGTAAGTGTAGAGGCCTCCATCCTGCTACAATATGAAACAAATGATACTGATTAAATACAGGAAAGGTGCTTAAAGTAGGATTTGAAGCTTGAAGGAACAGAACGTTTTGTGTTTCAGAAAGGAAATGTTTGCATGTTGTACATGGATGTGATACATAGTATATCTCTGAGGAAAGAACATAGATTGGGGTTGTTTGAGGATAAAGTGCTGAGGTGAATTTTTGGAACAAAGAAAGAAGTAACAGGATGAAGAAACTGAAATAATTAAGAGCCTCATCATTTGTACTCTTCATGCAGTATTATTAGATTGATTAAATCAAGGCGTGGAAATGTAGCATGCATGGGAAGATGAGAAATGTGTATAAATACAATTATTATCTGAAAACTTCAAGGGACTTAGCCAGTTTGTTGCCCTCAGCATAAGGAGGAGGATGCTGTTGGAATTGAATTTGGATATATACGGTGTGAGAATATAAACTGGATAGGCTTTATTGGCAGACTGTTTGAACAGGCTAATGATGCCTTATTCCATAAAAGCTGGGAATTACCTAACCTGCCCATTAACTTTTCAAGAAAGACCATGTATGACAATATGGAGTTTGTTAAATGTTTGCATGTTCCTAATTTTCTTGCAGGACGGTGAAAATAAGATAGAGTATCGTGTATGGAATCCCTTTCGATCAAAGTTGGCTGCTGCAATCCTGGGAGGTGTGGATCAGATTTATATGTCACCTGGTAGCAAGGTTCTTTACTTGGGAGCTGCATCTGGAACCACCGTGTCACATGTATCTGATGTTGTTGGACCAGTGAGTTAAATGAATCCTTTTCTTGTATTCTGTCTTTGACAGAAGAATTATCTGTGAGTTTTTCTGTTAGTTCCATATATATTTGTCACTGTTTCTTTAATTTCTGTAGTATTCTTTGTATTTTAACCCTTTGTGATCCTATGTCGGACTGAGTCCGACATTTAAAAATCTGAGTTCCGTTCCAATGTCGGACTGAGTCTGCCACGAATTTTACGAATTTTTTACATGATCTGGAGTCAAACTGAGGCTGGCAAACAGTGTCACCATATCATCCAAGCCTTCTTCTTTGCACTAGTTATATCCTAGGTTTCCTGGTAAGACTGTGTGTACCTTATACAGTGAAACCTCTATCCATCGTTCCCGGAACTATCGTTTTCCCGGATGCATCGTCCGTTTTGTTCGGTCCCGGATACATCCCATATAAAATAATGTTACATTTTCCCGCTTCTATCGTTCCTCGAACTATCGTTTTATCGCATCGATCGTTCAAAAATCTTAGTCCCGGCCCACAATTTTCCCGCAATGATCGTTTCTGAGAATTTAAAATGCTGGGTTTTGAGATAAATTAATACCGAAAGACGCACAATGTTTTTGGAATACGCAGTAGCGGTAACCTGTTATATCGCCCAACCAGCACATTCTTTTGGAATGAGGGTCAGCGGTGCAGGGGTGATAGTTGGAGTGAATGGCGGTGCTCATTGTCAGAAATTTTACGATTTTAATTAGGGTGCACTCATATTTCGTTCCAGCGATGCCAGATGGCATGTGCAGTGTGAATTTCTTCACAAATGCTTTTATTACAAGTACAAAGGAAAGGCTGGCGGCACTTTTCATTC